ATCTCCTAATTCTGACTTCAGTCTCTTTTCAGAATTAAATCAACTTATTTAAAAGAAAAATTCAAACAATTTTCCTCAGATTTCTGACTTTTGTCTAATAAAGTCTAAGAAAGTTCATTTTTTTCCCTCCTGGCCCAATCATCTTATTAAGTACATTTAAAAAAGGAATTGATGTTTTTTCTTTTTTGCCCTTTGAAACAGAACTAATTTGTTATTTTAATAAAGAACTCATAAAACACTCATTAGTTTATAGGAACAATAGCTTTGAACCATTTGTTACCAAACAGCTTTAGTTTTATAAATCAGTTGCACGTGTATTTACTAAAGTGATATTTCAGAACAAATGTGTGCACAGAGCAGTCCATCAGCCTCAAACTACAGCTTTGACTTTCATCCCATCCACACTACTCTGGATACTTTTAAAAACTGACATTATCTGACAGGAAACATGGGTTTTCATAAACAATGTGCCCTAAAATACTAAACAATGCAGTCATTTTTACAATTAAAAAATTATAGTTTGTCTCACTTTATCTTGGTTTTGTCTAAATCTAACTTTCAAACATCCTCACCACCTGGTGATCGGGGTTTTCAATGTTTTTGTTTGGGTAAAAATTTAAAAATTACAATTAAAGCATACCCAGAGTTAAGGCCTTATAATTCACTGTRACATGACAGATTTTTAACTAATATAAAATAGAACTTTTTCATAGTTTCACCTGTAATCCCCGTTCAAGATCAATATACATGTCGTCAAAAAATGGTCTTAATTAATAATTTGCTAATGTGCTAAACAAAAGGGCTAAGCTTAGCTGTGAAACACCAAAACTTTGGTTATATTTTGCTTAATGTATATGTAACATAAACACTGAATTAAAGTCTTAGTTTTGGCATATCAAAAGAATAAAAGGCACTTTAGGTTCAGTATCGTATTTTGTAATTTGATGTACGGTATAGCTTCATGTAATATGAGCTAATTTTAAGACCATTACTGGATTAATTTTTAAAACAAGCTCTTAAACATTTAAACCAGTAACTTGGAAACATTTTAAAATACTTTTTGTTAAGCAGAAGCTGATAATGTGCAGGTACTTTGTCAGTAATGGAGCCAGATGCAGTGCGCTAACCCTGTTGGCTAAGGTTAGCTTATCTCTTTTCTGCACTGTGTTTGAATTATGTCCCTCACAGGTACAGGACTTCGCAGAATTTTTGAGAACACGACCATAGAGCTAAATAAAAGTTTGAATCAGTCTGGGATGGTTCAGACTGTTAGCTTTAGCAGGTACTGTGCCAATGGAGCGAGACGCAGTGTGCTAACGCTGTTAGCTCGTCCATTTTCTACCAAAGTGCAGCTCCTGGGGAGGTGAATGTTTCTGTGAAGTTTTAACCTTTTATATAAAAAAATTTTTTTTTTGGTTGAAAACTTTATTAAGTGATCGACACATTATTGTTCAATGCTAAAACGCAGACACTATGAGCTCTTCAGCATCAACATTTTGACTTCCAGACGTTTGGTGACCATCCTCCCCTCCAGGCCTCCTCCAGGCCTCTGGTTGTCATCTCTCTCTCCTCTCTGTCACATTTCTTTGCCTCCAGTAATAAGACCATATTTTACCTCTGGACTGTTTAAATTAATTAAAAGCTGCAGTCAGTGAGTGCGACTTCAGAGTGAAAGATGGCGTGCGTTAAAAAAAATGTGTAGCCGTTTTTCTTTACACTGTGTATGTAGGAGTTTAAATGATATAAAGGGAATGCTATTATGATCCAGATGTAATATTTCATTGCTTCTTTATAATTAATATAAAGCGTACCAATGAACATACAGTAATAAAACCTAATTACCTGTTATGGATGTTATCTGCTGTTTTCTCATTTTTTTGTCAAAAAAGTGGTATAACCTACTTTCCTGGCTCTTGGGAGCTTGCCACCCACTAACGTACAGTGAAATTCATCTATTATTTAACACTCATTGTTATGTAATGTGTTTTGACTCTACAGAATGTGACTGAGGCAGAGCATCGCCTTCGTTTTTAGCCTGAATTTTCAGTTCATGGAAGCAGATCTGTCAGAGGAAACTGGTTTAGAGATCAGCCCAGTCTTTTTGATCAGGTACTGAACTGAGGAGGGAAACTAGAGTACAGCTACTAAAATACAAATATTTCAAAGTCCAACTAAGGCAGGTGTAGTAGTAGTTCTTTATTCATTTCATTTGAAAAGTAAAATACAACAAAAATCAAAACAACTACAATTAAAAATGAACTAAAAACAAATTTTAAAAACCAACTCAAACAACAACTATCATGAATTCACTTATAACTCTCCATATTTCTTCAGAAAACTAGTTTTTATCTTTCTCTTCAATAGATACAAGGATCTGGCATTTTTAACCTCATCTTCCAGGCTGTTCCATAATCTTATTCCCTGGATTAAAGTGGATCGCTCCTTCAGGCTCGTATTTCACAAACATTTCAATTCCCTTAAGATTATAACAGCTCTCTCTTTTTTAATAAAATTTACTTGAATGTTGGAAAGGTATAAGACACCTTTATGAGCTCTGTACATTAATAGTAAAATATTATAATCGACCAAATCATAGAATTTTAATAAATTCAAATCATGAAATAATATTCGATGGATGGCTGTAATTGTTTCTAATAATTCTTATAGCTCTTTTCTGTAAAATAAAAATAGGATTTGTGATTGTTTTACAAGCTTTACCCCAGACTTCACTACAGTAAATTAAAAGTGGAACAATTAAAGCATTATATAACAAACAGTGCTTTATTTATAGAGCAGGTGTGTCAAACTCGTTTTCACCCAGGGTCACATGAGTGTTGTAACTAATTTAGACTAAACATGGAACATCACGTTCCTCGTCTCATGGCTACAACTGAGCACCACTAACAAACAACGGAAATACAAACAAAAATACAATTTTGAGCCCAGATTTAAGACAGAGATAGAAGACAGGTCTGTCTGGATTAACCTCTCTACGACGGACATGTCTCCCAATCATTTCTACTGTTTTACAGATGGAGCCCTTCTGAAGGGGTCAGCAGGTGCAGGGGTGCTGATTTTGCACAACCATGGTAAGAGAGAGCATAAATACCCACAAGGTTGTTTTGCAACTGTATCTCAAGCTGAGATACAGCGGGTAAAATAAGTATTGAACACGTCACCATTTTTCTCAGTAAATATATTACTAGAGGTGCTAATGACATGAAATTTTCACCAGATGTTGGT